CACTTGGCAGCCATGTAGGGAGACTTGCCTGGAGTAGCTAGCCAAGCAGGAAGAGAGTGGGGCTCCGGGAGTGACTGGAAAGATGAGTGAGGCTGCCGCCACCTCCAGACATGTGAGTACACAGAGGTATGCTCCAGCTGCACGGGGATATTCATATTTGTATACGAATACCCCATCTCTAATTAGAACACAAAAATCATGACTCAAGAATCATTTTCATTGGTCAGAATGCTATGCAAATATTCAGTCATTTAGAATATTCACATTTCCATTATAGGTTCATGGGTACTCATTTTTGCTCAATTTCCTCGTTCCATAATATTATGTTTGTTTCACTATTCCCAGCTATTGGAAGGCTTAAAATCTCCCACCAACAAGGACAGCGATTTTTAGCCATCACTCTTGATGGTCGTGATTTTATTTCCTCCAGAATGCCCCAAATGTTGCCTCATTCCAGGGCATTTGTGAAGAAAATGATTGCTTCTTCCAAAAATGGTGGGAAAATCTAAAAAGGGTCATATTGGAGTGCTCATCAAAATAATTTAGTTCAGTTTTTCATTTATTCTAAAACAAAAGGCCACACCTGGATTTCAACCATCTGTGGGATCTCCCATTAGAATCAGTAGAAATTATTTAACATAACCGTTGTTTTTACCTTATAAGTATTTTTTACACATTGATTGAGCAATTGGCCCAGCTTAATCACAAGCAGATAACCAGCAAAAGGGCCTTTGAAGAAGATGGAAAAGAACAAGCATTTTGCATATACTTAAATAAAAGAATTTATTTTTCTTTTTTAAAAAAGTTCCAAAACAAAACTGTAAAACAAAACAGTGGTTTGATCTAAATACAGCAGCACTGCAATATTATTAGAATTGTACAAGCAGCCAGAAAACACAGAAGCCATTATTGTCAGTTAACAACCTCAAAAAGAAAACCATTTTTATTCAACAATGTTTTTTAAAAAAAAACACACCTCCCTGAAAATTAAAACAAAATGAAAATCCTTTGGATACTAGAATTATTATTATTATTAAGATTATTATTATTGTACAATATCAACAACCACTAGTTTTTCTACTTGAGAACATCTGGTTCCCTTTATTATAAATCTATAACTTGTTGATTAAATTATGAAAATTTGTTATGTTAGAAGTGCCTGTTTCTTTTTGAGACTACAGTATGAGAAGTGTTTTAAAATACTGACTCCTGAATATGCCTTTCAAACTAGATCCATGTTGTAGCTGTGAGACTGGCAAATGTGTATTTTTTTTAAGTCAGTGATAAGCCTACTTTTAATATGGATATTGGTCTAACAAGTTAATCAACAGTCTGCTATGGTCACCTACATCACAAGCTCATTAAAATGTTAGTTGCCGAGAAATCCAATGGTGAATTTATACCCATTGCCCCTTTGGAAGAGGTAAAAAAAATCAAGCATGTATAAGAATGGCACAAATAGAAACGAAAACATCCTTACCATCCTAGCTTTCTACTAGTATATCTTTTGTTATTTAGTGGAAGATTTGGAGTTCTTTTTGATATCCTCTGAATTAATGGCACTTGCCTATATAGACAACATTGTCCATTGGTTGAACGTCACCCTGTTTTCAATCTATCTGTGTGATGTAGCTTGGAATGTTTTCACATAGATGTTTCAGCTGTAGTTGTCAAACTGCTTGTGGAATCAGGCTCAACACATCTTAGACCACTGGATCTGGTCACGCAAGTGCAACAGTAATGGGGGGAACCCACACAAATCCTGTAAAGGTAATAGCTCCTGGTTCTCTAGCACCACAGGTAGGTTTGGTAAGGAATTAGATGGTTTAGGATTTTTGTTATCTTTTGGTCTTGCATATGTGGCACTCTACTTCAGAAAGACATTGAAGGGTATTTCTAATGCAGAGGTGGAAAAAAAATTCTGTCCCTTTGGCCCCACATCCTTCAGCACTTAAAAAAGATAATAATTCAAAAATTTTGTCAAGCCCTGTGGGAGGACTTTGTGAGCACTTTGGGCTTTGAAAAAAAAAGCACCCCCACCCACAACAGGTCTGTGGAAACAAAGCATGGTGAAATTGTACCCCATGCCCCGCAGAGGATGCAAGTAGCCTTTTATACTTCCAAAAATGTTTTGGGTAAAGTAGTTAAGGATATAGGAATAACGGTGGCCTTCCAAGTCTTAGGGAAATGTGTGCAGCAGACATTGTGCACTGATGTGCTAATGGGAGGGCAATACCTTCAGCAAAGGAGCATATACTTTTTGCACACAGACAGTCCTTGTTCTATTTCTAGCATCTTTTGTCAAAGGTAGCAGCTGATGGAAAGAGCTTCTGCCTGAATGCAGAAACAACTGTCAAGCCAAAAAAAGGGTTATATGGACAAATAATCTGCCCAACATCCTATTCCCTAAACATGGAATTCAAAGGAAATTATGTAAGTCCCCAACTCCAACTAGCTTCCTGTTGAGCAACCCATTGTGTGATCAACCTCACAACTGAACTAATGTGTTGACAGTAAGATACTGGCCTATGCCCTCCTTCCTTCATCTTAGGTTTTCTAGGCTTCCATGAGAGCAGGACAATCACAGTCAACACTACATAGAATGGACATGGTAGAAGATCGTTCACATCCATATGTATCTGTATGTACAGATTTCAGGCTCAGAGGGCCAAGGAATTCAGTTCTTAAACCAGGAGTGAGCAATTTCTGAAGGCCTCAAGACCAATTTTGCTCTCCTCAGGGCCTTGGGGGACAACATGTCCCTCAGATACCACTGCTCCCTGAATTCTAAAAAAAAAAGAAAAAAGAAAAAAAAAGAAGAAATAAAAAAAAAGAAAACAAGTTTTTTTCTGCTTCTAGATAACTCCCTCTTTTAAAAAATGCCTTTTAAGGTCTAAAACATGCATATATACACATCATATAGTTTATTAGAATAAATAATGAAATACTGTGCAATTTGCAGTTTTGGGGCCTAGATGTGCTTGGGGTTGAGGGAGGTAAGAGTGTCTGATAAAACACCCTGGTACCTGGGGAAGGGTCACACCAGGGTCCTGTGATGGGGTCTGGGCCACAGTTGGCTCACCCTGGCTTAAATAATTGGAGTGAATACAGGTGGATGGGCACTATTTTCATTCTTCCTTTTACACTTAGTGGTTTAAATATTAACAAGGCAAACTGCTTTCAGAGTCACTGTAACAATTGTCCCAGCAATTCCCTATAGCACCTTTGCAGGAACTGTATAATGTAATGCTCAGGTCTAACATCTTATTAAGGAGATGATTCTGAGTTTCTATAAAGGAGGAGGTACCATGTACTACAGCAAGAGAATAATATTAAAGAAATGTTGAAATAGTAATCTTCCAAATGATAGCTTAGACTTGGAGAATGCCATGTTTTGTTACCTAGCGCCTTTCATTTTTTTAATGATTTTTACCACTAGGCAGAGATATCATGATCACTTACAAAAGAAATGCTCTAATCAAGGGCAGAGAAAACAGCAAGCCAGCAGAAGGATCAATCCACCCTTCAAAATGCATTTTATGAATTAGATGCAAGTAAGAAATGTGAGATACATTTAAAAATTAAAGAAAATACAATGGCTCTAGTTTAAGGATCGTGTAGAACACACCAAATTATGCTTCTTAATTGACTCATGTCTTTATAAAGGAAAAGATTTACAATTGTACCAAGCTGTGCCTTTATTGCTGTAGCAGGTTGTACGTAACTGTACAAAATGCTACAAACACTGATGCAGAAAAATACCACTGAGGAGATGAAGGAAAATCTTCCCAGTTCTGGATTTTCTTGAAGTACAAAGTACAGTAATTGCAGTTTCCTTTCCACTGTCTTACTTGTTTTTAATAAGTTGCAAAATATAGCTAAAAGAACATCCATAATTCCCTGGTATTTTTTAGACAGAGGACATTTCTTCAAACAGAGGAGACTCTCAAGAAGAGGGCTGTCTTCTGTAACATAGGATCTATGGTATCCTATTGGCTGATGCAAAGGGATGCATGTGGGTTAAAATGTTGATTTAAGGAGAGGAAGTAAGTTTAATTGGTGTGATACATGAAAGAGAAAATCTAAATGGGATCATAGATTAGAGACCACAAAAGGCAAAAATAGGGTAAGAATAAGGGAGGAAAAAAAGCAAGTGATTACGATGCTGTCTGGATAACACAGCGGTTTAAGTATCTGACCAAGGAGCCTGAGGTTGGGAATTCAATTCCTCATTGTGCTTCCTGTGAGTAAAGCCAGCCTGTGTGGCTTCAGGCAACCTGCACGGTCCCAGAGTACTCCCAGAAGAAAGGAATGGTAAACCATTTTTGAGTATTCTCTACCTGGAAAACCCTGAAAAGGGTCACCATAATTCAAAACTGACTTCGTGGCACATGAGTATTATTATAATATAGTTTACATGTTTGGGGAAAGGAATGGTTGACCTCATTGAGTGACCCTATAAATGTTTTTGTCCTTTCTTCTGTCCTTTCTCTTTCATGCATCACCCCAATTAAACTTTCTTTCTTTCCTTAAATCAACATTTTAACCCACATGCATCCCTTTGCATCAGCCAATAGGATGCCATAGATCCTGTGTTACAGAAGACAGCCCTCTTCTTGAACATCTCCTCTGTTTGAAGAAATGCCCTGTCCAAGTCCCATTTAAAGTTGACCTTTAAGAAAGAAGAGCAGGGCCTTCAAGACTGCCCATCAGCAGAAAAACACTTGCTCATCATAATGAGTAAAGTAATGATAAACACAGGGCACCAATCGCAGTTTCCCCCACAATGTTAAAAATGTATTGTATGTTTATTTAACTGGCAACAAATATTTCTAAATGTACATATTGAGAAAATGTTATGGAAATCCATGCTGTCTTTTTCTGTTAGTGTTTTCCTATTTTTGGCAGTGCGTAAGTGACTAGTTTATTCACTAATTACACTGTGCATACAACCTTGTCTTACCACAGAAATTTGGAGGTGATAGTTCAGTAAGAATACAAAGCAGTTTCTTGAAGACTTCCTGAAAAAATGGTTAATGGGCTTCAGAGGATATCTGTGAAAAGTGAGGTCTTGGCTTCACTCATCTCCACTTTATTCAACTTTATTAGCGGAGAAAGCCTTCAGCCCAGCTGTTTTTGCAAAAGGCAGATTTGGTGGGGAAAGGAGAAATAATTAAATCAGGAAATGCCCAGCACAGCTGAATAACTGCATATATGTAAACTCCATGAAGGCAAAAAGAAGCATTTATGACTTAGCTCATGCTAGGATATTTGGTCCACAACATATGTATTTCTGAGTGCAGATGTTATGACAGAAGAATCACATAGGTTTTGGCTTGGTTTTATTCTCTTGAGAAGAATTATACTAAGCATCATGGAGGAAAGAAAAGGCTGCCTGTCTTGCTTTCTCACATTTCCTTGTGCATCTCACACAATTTAACACCAAGGTATCATGTTTCTTTGCCCTCATATTGGCACAATATTGCCTCTCATTCCAGGGAAATGCTGCACTATTCGAAGGGAAAGCAACCTGGTTATTCCTAATCCTTTGGTCTAAAATCCCCATTATTCTTGGCCATTAGCTGTACTTGTTAACCCTGATGGGAGTTCTAGTCCAAGACTCAAGGGATACCAGGTGCCCTGAATCTGTAATACACTGAAATGGACAGTAGGAGTATATGTTACAACATGTAAGGGAATGAATTCAGCACAAAGAGGTGATTTTCCACATCAGCCCTACATCTTGCTCAATATGTGAGTTTATCGTGGTGAAAATGTTGTCAGGTGAACAGAAACATGGACAGAACTTTCAGATCTTCACATTCTGGAGAGGCCAGTATATTATGACCCAAATGATTTTGTTTTATAAATCTTTCTTTACATGCAGACATTACAGCTGATAATGTCTTTCAAATACAATAGGAGTAGCAGCCTTAAGAAAAATTGTTTCACATATGTCACAAGCCAAAATAATTTAGTCTGTAGAATATTTTTGAAATGTTATATTCTCCTACTAGTTTGAAACTGGTTAGCTTAAATATGCAAATACGGTGACAATCATATTTTAAAAAAATATGTGGGAAACTTTAGCCCCTCAAAGTAGAAATGGCAGAATTTTGTAATCAAAAGGTATCCATTCATGTTTATTTAACCTCTTGTTGCTTGTGCAGCTTAAAGTTCTGGAAGTCTGCATCAATTCTCTTTCATCCTTAAGATCATACTATAAATCAATATTCTTCTGACACCCTACTGTGAAATACTGTTTGTAAATTATTATTTATAAACATTTCCACATCAGACACTCTGTTACTTTTCATTCTTCAATACACTCTAATATCAGAAGCTTCACTGATGCATTTGGAAGGAAAGTTCATGTGACTTGTAAAAATAAAAACATAATAAAATCCATGCTGGGCCCAACTAAGGGCCTATCTTGTGTAACTAGACTAGGAGTGTGACTACATTGGAAAGCCAAATTGGAAACAATTTGACTTTGCTGAAGTTTGATCCACAGCACATATTAGTTTGAAATCACAGTGCTCACACAGGAATGGCAGATAGATCTGGGAGTTTTCCATTCATACTGGATGTGATGAGAGCTGCATTCAATGCTAATCTCATATATGTAAGACTTTTTTAAAAATTAAAAGATTTTGGTAGACAATCAGGAGAGGGGAAAGAATGTATGTGTTTTGGGGGGGGTTCCCCTGGTTCTGAACATCACACTCCAACTGTCCACATCACCAAAACACCACCTACAGATATGCCTCCTATCTTTATAAAAATGTATCACAACCAGCCACATGGAAAGAAGCCCATTTGAATTGTTCTGAATTGATAAAGAAAAATTCCTTCCACCCTCCACCCCCCACAACAGCAGCAGAGAGAAAAAAAGCTGTTCTGGGAGCAAAAAGGGCTGGACTGATTCAGATCAGCCTTTCCATCACGCAGTCAGTAAAAACTACTTTGCATTCACCCATTTCATAAGCAGAGCAAATCCTGTGGTTCCTGATTGTGTAGCTATGTTCTAGATCTATCTAGTTCAACACGCTCACCTTATAACCAGATAGAGCCAAAAAAAGGGGCCATAAGGTCTCAAGAATTCATAACACTGCATCATCTTTTCCCTCTCAGATTACTTAGTAAGTATACAAAGCAGAGCAGTGTTTTGCCTCTGAAGTTATTGATAGAAAGGAGGCAGAGAAAAATTCATATCATGTTAAAATGTCACCTTCAAAAACCAAACTTCATGGGTTTGGAACATCTGTCTACTTGTGTCCTGAAAGGAGAACACAAGACGTTGTATCTGTAAGAGTAGGGATAGTAGGAGTCACCTGTGTGCATGTAAGCTAATTGCACCTGTTCTGCTTTTGGTGTGGGAGCAGTGGGAAGCAGCAAGGATAGTAGGTCAGTTCAGGGAGAACTCCAGAGTTAAATGCACATGAGTGCATATCCAATGTGTATCCAACACTTCTCCTCCTCTCCCCAGCAGCCTGTACTTTCTGGCAAAAAGAGTGCCTGACAGAGACAAAGCCATCAAAATCATTTGTTGGTGTCTTCTTGAGAGAAGTGGCAGAGGGATTTGCATTTGTTCTTTACTATTTAGCAATAAAAGCCAAAAATCTGGAAATGGGCTCAGTGACGGGAAAGAGAGGAGAGGTTTTAAGGAGAACTGAATTTTGAAGAATGGACACACACAGACAACCTGACTACAGAAAGTATACGTTGCAACAGTGCTGGTCCCATGACATTCTGGACCTAAGCCTCCTTAGAGTTGATGAATCTTGATCATATGTTTCTTTTGGCATGAAAAGTAAGATTTTAACAAAAATGAGGGAAGACACTCATCTGCAGTGTTACTGTAAACCAAGTAGATGAAAAAAAAGAGGGAATTACGCCATCCTAAAAAAAAAGGGTCAATAAAATCAATACTGGGATGAGGGGAAGAAAATATGAACAACTTTCTTTTGCAAAATAAAAATAAAAATCTCATTTTGAGGCTCTGGAAAGCTTGATCACTTTGCTTTTCTTGTTTTTTTTTAAACCCAAAAGTCTTAAATGCATGGCTTTACAAGCTGCTGCTCAGAAAATATACATCCCCAAGTCCGACTTTCATTTAAATACAAATGTACAAAATGTAAACTGAGACAATAGATAAATTTACAAAACCTTTTCTTTAAAAATAATAAGGACAAAATTCAGTTCTAGTTATGATGCTATTTTAAATACGTGCAAGTTGTCAGACACCGATTTCTATTGCAATGTCCTATAGAGACAACGCTGAGTCCCAGGACCTCAAGTGCCACCTCCAAAACAGACCTGAGAGGAAATTTCTTGGTATATGGGAAGCTCCCCTGGAACGAACGGAGAGGGGTGAAAAAAATCTCCCTCAGTAGGACACTGTTGATCTTCTCGCTCAATGGCAGGTGCTCTCTCTCATCCTCGAAGCTCCGTACATTATAGTGGAAAGATGCAAAGTGCAGGTTCACAAAAGCCAAGACAGAACTAGCTGCTTCCAGTGGAGTTTGAACTTACATGGTTGGCATTTATATGATGATTCAAATTGGCCTTTGAATTTGGAGAACTCTTGGAATTGTTCTGATGCTGCAGGAGATTTTTTTTTTTAAAGCAAAGGAAAAGAAGACAAAACAAAGAGACTGTTAAATACTCTGAAGAAGGAAAACTCTGTTTAAGGGTGATCTGGAAGGATTATGAATCTTCACAGCTTACCAAATTTGAAATGAAAAAGGGGAAATTATATCCTAACTATGTACTTGTAGTTTGCCTGTCTCTTGCAGCTCCAATTAGGCCACTGGATCAATTCTAGCCCTAGGTAGGCATTTTGAAGGACAACTGGAGACTATACAAATGGGTCCATACATCTACAGCCCCATCTGTGCCAGAGGGAGGTGAGATATCCTCTGATGCAGTTGGCGTGAAAGTGGCATTGCCGCTAATGGCTTGGGATGTAATGCTTGTAGCTTTGTTTTCTAGCATTGCAACAAGCAATGATTGAACTAGTAAGGTAAAATATCAAGGTAAACTTTGTATATTTTTAAATATAATCCTAATGCAAAAGGGGTGTTTTGGCTGTATGGGGACTGATTTTTGAGGGAAAATTTGATTACTTAATTATATGCACCATACAGCATTTGTAGGTTGGCACCTCCTCAATATATTGCACTCACAGATCTCACACAGAATATCAATTTAGGTAACGTAGCTCACAAACCTTAACTAGCACTTGGTTTCTATTGCAAAGTGAAATTGGGAGGCTCAGTCTGAGACACTGAAATGGTGTGGAGAAGAGGGTGCTTAACACTTTGCATTTACCACTTATTTTGGAGGGCAACGTTAGGCCACCCAACATGTTTGATCTCAATTGGGCATTTCAAGTTCCAAAGCAACTATACAGAGGTCTTGCAGCATTCCCAGTATTGAAATCTCAATATACCACTGATTTTTTTCCTGTCATTTATCACATTGCAGTTTCAAATCCAGAATAAGATACTTCATAGCCCAAGTAATTCAGTTTCACTAAGATACTGCAGAAAAACCAGCTCCATGGTAGTACCTTGATGAACAGAAATGCATGTTGACATTATGTTTGAACATTTACTTGCATTTACACTTATGCCTTTATAATAACAGAAGTTCTCACCTGACGTTTAAATATTCTATGCAGCAACCCTTTCTTTGGTGGTTCTGGTGGGTAATTTCTGTTAAGGTCTGGTGAGATAGTACCATTTGGTCCAAACATATTCAGTTCTTTAAAACATTCTGTTTCTATCATCTAGAAAGATGAATGGAAAAAGAAAAGCACACCTGCATTTATTTGGTCCAGAAGCCTCATGAGAGTCCCAACTCTAAGGAATGCCTAGTTTATAAAGAACAAATATAATGCACCCATCTAAGACAGGGGTGGGAAATGTACAACTCTCCAGATGTTCTTGGATTGCAAGTCCTGTCAGCCCTAACTAGAGCAATCTGTTTTGAGGGGTGATGAGAATTTCAGTCTAACAACATCTGAACTGCCACTCATTCCTAAGATAAGATGCTCATGCTTAGATTTAAGAGAACTATCTGATTATTGAACATAAGATTGCAAGAACAGCCACCTTGGATCAGGCCCCAGGGTTATGTAGTTCATATTCTGTTTCCACAGTGGGCAGCCAGATATCTGTGAAAATCCCACAAGCAAGACATAAGTGCAAAAGCTCTTTTCTGTTAGTGATCCCCAGCAACTGGTATTCAGAGGTATATTGCCTCTGATACTGATATTGGAGGTAATATATGTTGGCTATTAGTCTGAATACCATCAAAGGTAAGTCTATTGTTGATTTTGCATCAAGGAAAGAATGTAAGTCAGGCAGCGATCACCAGACCTTTTTTTTCCCCCAATGGAAAACACACATTATACCTTTCCTTCCACAGACTCATCACTACCCCCAGTTTCTCTCTGCTAAGCGCATGCATCCTAATTAAAAATTAATTCAGGCTAGAACTTAGATCTACAGAAAGTGCTAGAGGCTGTTTTTTACTGGATAAAGTGGTCAACCATGAAACCAGCACCTAGCCAAAAGTGTAAAATTATGAGAGTTGCAGTCCAACAATATCTGGAGCCTCTCCTAACCCCTTATCCCTCTTCCAAATGACCCAGCCTTTATAATGCATGTCCAATCCTCAATAAGTGGACCTGCCTGCAGACTTACAAACACTTTTGCCACTTCCTACCTGCTTTTCTTTTCCATAATTTTGCCATTTTTCATTATCGGTACTGCATGAGTGCAAGCATGACTTTTTGACACACAATTTCTCAAATGTACAGTATATATATTTTTTGTTGTGATATAAAACATAGCTGGAATGACGTACTGCTGAAAGCATGGATGAGTGTGTGAGCTGAAATTGCTTATCAAAGATTATAGTTGACCTTCACAACCATCTAAAATTTCCCGAGGGGAAGCTGTGTTAGTCTGCAGCAAAACCAACCAATCTTGTGCCGTGCTAAAATCTAGCAAGTTTATCTAGTATAAGCTCTCATGGACTACATTTGAAGAAGCAGGCCTCAGTCTACGAAAGCATATACCAAATAAAGCTTGTTAAGTCTTTTGGGTGCTGTAGGATTCTTTGGTGGCTTGGCTGCAAGAACAATTTGAATTCACCCAAAAGAGGCAGAGACAAAACAAAGCAGAACATGTTATAAGCTGGTCACTGGTATCAGTGTGAAATCAGATGGATGAGGGATCCTAAACACAGCTCTAAACATTATTTATGCTGAGATGAAATCACCGCTTGTCCATTTAAACAAAGAAAGAAAATGCATGTTTCTAATTTCTTTAAGTATAATCATCCCCCCTCCCACCCAAGAAATAATCATACCTGAAATCAAAGGCAAGTTAAAAATGAAACAAAAATTTAGAAAGCAATATTCTCCCATACTGCGAATTATACAGCTGAAGTATACATGAAATAAATGTGTAAGTCAACTATGAAAACTTTTTTTCTCTTACACCTGCACCATCCAGAGTATTTCTAAATCAAGGAATGTCAACTAGGTCCAGCAGAAAATGCATTAGTATGCATTTGCTATTTATGGACACTGCAAAAGACTGATAGGAGAGGGTGATGAATACATACATATACATCTTTTACCTCATTTTGCCATGGAATTGGTACAGAGCCTGTGGAAAATTTGGAATAGAAATCGTCGTCTGTTTGGTCCAGGTTTACTCCCTTGACAGTTGAAAATTGTTCAATGTCCAACACATCCTTGCAGTACACTGCTCTCGGCTGCTCCAGCAGGAAAAGAAAGAGAACGTAAGGGAGTCTGAACGTGTGGTTGAAATGACAAGTTGGAATGCTTAAAAATAGCATTACCTTGCTATACCTAACTCCCTTTAGGTACGTTTGCAATTAGTATATCTTAAAAGAATCATCGAGAGCCTTTCTACATTAATCAGTACAGTTACTCTGTAGTTAACTGATGAATTTATTAAACCTGGAAATGGGAATTTAACTATGCTTTAATTGGAATTAGATTCTTTGAGATGATTTCAGTGTCATCTTGTACTGTAAGTATATTTGCATCCCTTGATTCATGGATTTCATTTATCATGTGTTATGAAGTGGGTTACAGTTCATTAAGCTTACACCATTAGTGTATGTATTAGTCTTTGGCACAAGAACAATAGTGACCTGAGGCTAACACAGCCACCCTTCTAGAAATGATTTATAGGTGTTTCTATTTCAGGCAAACAGTTTCAAGCATTAGATAACCTCAGGAAGAGTATTGTGATACTGTCTGTTTTAGTCATATGCTGGCATCTATAAGCCCCTTCCAGTGCAGCAGCTGTCTTAGGCTGTTACAGCAAGAGCAACAAAGACTCTTGTGGGTCAAAGGTTAACAAAGTGACACTGTGAAGGAGCTATCATAGACTTGAACCCACTTTATCCAATTTATTATCTTCAGTTGGAAAAAAAAGACTCATCTTTATTTTGCACATGTTGCAATTGTCTCTGAGAGTTCTGTGCATAATTTAAATAGGAACATCTACAAGACAAACTATGTCTTGCTATGCAGTAGTAATCACTGATAGCCCCACTGTTTTAACATTGCCATACTAGCCACTATAGTGGGAAGAAAACCCAAATTCTGGGTCTAAATAAATCATATCTTGATAGATTCTAGTTCAGTAAATTGATACTGTAATCTTCTTCTCAAATTTCTGTGTGGAAGTGTTGCACTTTTCAGATCAGCAGCAGAGGATTCTGGGAAAATGAAATACTAGCCCCTCCTCCCCATGCCTGTGTGTTCCAATTATTTTAATCCATGTCCAATGAGCTGGAACACATGGCCTAACTGCTTGCAGAGATGTAGCCAGTGTTTCTCCATTTTATCTGTGCCACTTCAGCTAACTTTACCATTTCCCCATTGGCCACTTGGACACAGTATAGAGAAATGCCTGAGAAAACACCACAGCAGCTTGCAGAAACAAAACATGCTGCATGCAGTAACAAAGCTAGTTAGTTTTCAACTATAGTTAATGTTAAGCACAGTTTAGAGTACAGATATAAAGCTGAATTGCTATTAATTACAAATTGGAGTGTAAGAAAGAGGCTAAATTGGTATTAATTAGAAAGGTAACTGAAAAAGAGAGGGAGGAGGAAATGCATGGGCCTGACGTCTGTTGAAGTAACAATGAACTATTATCATTACAGCTAAACTGCGCCTATTTTAGTTTATGACTAGTGACTCTCAGGAGAGTCTGCAAATGGACTGTGCTTTTATAAGCATGTGCTGGAAGTAGTTTAGGTCACCGGTTAGGAAGGTGGTTGGTTGATGGGACAATAAGGAAGCAATAAAGCAGGACACAGCTTATAGGATTTTTTCTGCAGAACCCATTAAAATAAATGAAAGCCATACAAGTCCCTGATGGGTTGTGCACGAAGTCTGAAAAATGTTTGTCATCACAAGCACAGCTCAAATGAAATGAAACACCAAGTCAAAATGTATCATCTCCAGGGTTATTTGATGGAGCAATTTCATTTTTTGAAATATAGTCCTCAATTTCAAACGGCGCAAACAGCTTTCTGTTATGAAGAAATATTACTCTGGGTTCATACTGAAGTGTTTCTATGATAGCAAATGACAGCTTCAACTACCTTTCCCCCCTCCTTTTGAGCAACCAAAACTAAAGGGCAAACAAGGTAACAATTTGAACTGACTTGATCTCATGTGTTTTAGGTCCAAAGAACCATAAAGGTCATTCTGCATGTACAGACAGGTACTGATTTTATCTCTCTTGAACGTCAGCTTTCCATTTCTGCAATCCATTTTGGAACTCCAGGGAGTATGAAACGCAGTTTATGATATGCATGAAAGCATGCTGTTCAAAGCAAAATGATCTCAAAACCCATTCTTTCAAGTATACTGGAAAGTAACTTTTTTCACTCTTGGCACATAACGTGTTTTTAAAAAGAGGATGAAATTTGTTGAAAATAAATTAACCTGATGCAATACTCAGCATACACCTTTTTATTGTTTGTTTTGGAACATCTGCAATAATATATAGAGAACCATAAACCATATTAGACTTCATTCACTTTAAAGTTTGGCCTTTTGTTGATTTTGTACACAGGTTTTTGAGCTCAAAATAAAAATGATTCTTATTTGTAAACTTTGTAAAGGCTTTCTCTCAGCAAAAGATTTTACAATCGTTCTCACATTAATTTGTATCAGGGGTGAGCAAAGTGGAATCCACAGGCAATATGTAGTACCACAGTTGCTCTCCAAGGTCTGGAGGTCACAGTGTATATTACTTGGAACTCTGGAGGCTGCACTCTTCTGGTTTACACAACCGCTCATCACTGTAGAGACTGATGTTCCTTCCTCCTTTTTACAGAGGAGGGAGTAAAACCAAACTAGAAATTTGCACAAAGACACCAGGCTCAATTCACAGGAATGCTTTAAAGAAGACAATCCTAAATCTTCATTGCATGGCAGGGTTAAAATGTTATGAAGAGTTTGACAACACCAATGGAAGCAGTCAAGAGGGTCTACAGCATACCTTCTTGTGCTCACTATCATTCAAACCTCTTGAGACACAGTCCTGAAAATTGCTGTTTTGATAGGAAGTGGTTAACTGATGAAAAAAGGAGTCTATTTCTGGAATTTTACCTTGCTTGTTGTCTCTTTCTGAATGATAGTGAGCACAAAAGAGTATCCTGTAGACCACCTTGACTGCTGCTATTGTTGTTGTCAACATTCAGGTTGCCCCTTTGCTATGTAAAGCTTTTTTCTGCTGGCAGAACTGAGCAGCAATATTGGACCATTTCTTGGCTTTCTGAATCATGGAAACAGAAGCACAATATCACATATTCATAAATTGAAGGGTTTTTCTGAAGAACTAAATTGTTTCCAAGTTCTACTTCAGTTTCAGATTGCTTTCCTCAAGCATTACACTTACATCAGGGACAAAAGGAGGGTCCAACATTCCAGCTTCCAAGCGCTTGAAATTCAGGTTTTTGAAAAATGGGTGCCTCTTTACTTCAGCTGCACCTTCTTCCCGACAACCCAGTCTATTCGTCACATCTTTGGTCAGTAGCTAGAAAAAAGACCACAAGAAAGTGCTTGTTTGTCTGTTTTTATATTTCCAGGCACAACCACAAAAAACCCAGTATAATTTCAGAAGTGATAAATTAATTCACAACTTGCAATTGCATTATATAAAGCAAAGGGGGATCTGCTGCATCTGTACATCAGAATTGACATGAGCCCTGGTTTGCAGTATTAACCATATATTGTCATGCATAAAAGTAAACCAATTACAGCTTTCGTCATTTTTGATCTATTTCTCACTCGCCTTTCTTCTTTCTTTCTTCCAGATCCTGTTTCAAGGGCAGGGAGAAACAAGCCTGTATCATGTAATGGTTCTGGGTAGAGATCGGAGCTTCGTATTTGTATTGGCCACCCTGATTATCTCCCATCCCCAGACCCTGCCAGACCACTTACTGTGCAGCATGTGTTGTATGTCATTGGCATCATCATCACTGCCCCAATCATGGCAGTAGCCCAGCTGCCGCGATGCCGCCTCCCTGTTTGCCCAGCCACTCCATGGCTGAGTACAGAGACTGACAAAAGCCATGCTGTATTTCTAATTGTAGTTTGCAACTGGCTAACAAACCATGTTTAGTATTGAGAGGGCAGGTTCAGGCACAACAAACCAGATTTTTTTTTTAAATCATAACCTGAGTTATGTGTGAACTGAACGAATGCCTTAGCACAGGAATCTGAGGAACCTATATTTCAAGATTAGGTTGGGGGTTAGACATTTCAATAAAAATAGGCCCCAGCTTGACTTGCTTAACTCATTCCACTGCAACACAAAAACATGCAAGTTATTAATTATTTCTTTGTAGCGCTAGAGATTAAACCAGCTCAGCTCTTAAATAATAAAATCAACGAGCTTCCTTCAAAATAAATTTGAGGATAGACGGAAAAAGAATTAAGCTGAAATCCTATTCATAAGCCCTACTGGATTCAATATTTACTTCTGAGTAGACATGTGAAGGACTTTATTCTTAATTTCTTAAGAGGAAAATACTTAAGAAGATAAAAGAATTAAAGTTGTTCTCTTTCTCCTGAAGAAAGATTTACACATGTAAGACTTTGATTATTTTCTCTTCATCCATTAGAGGGCAGCAGGAGAAAAGTTAATAGTACAGGAATGATAAACAATACTGTATATCAAATGCATGTATCAGCTTGTGATGCAGACATGGTTTCTAAAAATTGAATAGATGTAGTTAAGTTTCAGCTACAGAGACAACAGAAAGTTCAGTGCAACTTGTCTCCTCTTTTATTGATTGATTGATTGATTGATTGATTGATTGATTGATTGATTGATTGATTGATTGATTGATTGATTGATTGATTGATTGATTGATTGATTGTCCATCTGGCAGCCAAGGCCACTCCAGGAGGTTTAAAACAAGTAACAAAAAACAACAGAATAACAAAATACCAACATTAATACATAGGGTTGAAAATCAAAAATCATAAAATGAGGTGAGGGTAAAATTATAATACAATAAATACAATTAAAAGCATAGAAAAATAAAAACAAGGAGCATGGCAGTATGACAGAAGTTATATTATTGGACACTACTGTTCATTTTTCACTTTCCATATCCTTCTATTTCAAAAGTTAGGGATGAACTAACTTGCTTATGTCCCAACAATGATTTGGCTAACGATTCTGGAAAATTCTCCACCTAAACTGCTCTCCTGAAGTAGAAGAATCGAAAGATATAAGTGGTGCTGATGACACTGTATCTACGCAGGCATAACACAGGCATCATTTACTGAAGGCAGGGAACAGAGCAAATAGATTATTCTGCACAGTGAGATTGGTTGCTCGAAAAGAGCCTGTACATGACAGGATCCAAATGTTAATGCATTCAGCTCTCCCCTACCAACAGAGTAGGATGTGGAAAACTGCATATTATACATAGGAACAAATCCTGTTCCCCCTGAATATATATATTCAGGTGTTACTGCTGAACTTTTGGACCCTGCAGTCACAAGAGGAAATCATTGGATGTTGTATGTTGTTGCTGACTCATGTTTTTACAGAGGGATGGTGAATCTTCACTTCTCCAATGTTTCATCATCACACACCCGGCTCACATTGCATGGTGCAGGATGTTGAGAGCTGCTCTTTAGAACATCTGGAGGGCCAATGGTTGCCCACTTCTGATTTATAGCACCATAACAAGAAAAGAAGTTGATCTGAGCTGGAAGCACAGCATGCATTACTGCTTGTCAGCACAGCAGCAAGACACAGAGGGGTCCAGAGGTCTCACTGGCTGCCATCACTTCAGAGAACTGAATAATAGAGAATGGAATAAGAAAAAATAAACACTTATTTTTATTTCCTGTGACACCATAGGGTCAACTATCAGTTCCTGAAAGCTAAAACTGTCCTCATAACTCATTGAGTCATAGATCTATATACCTCAATGGGTTACATACTATCAACTCAGTGAGTGAGAAATTTCATAATCAGACGAATTTAGACTAGAATTCAGTTCTCTGCTCACTTGCCTATACTCTTCAGCCAGTTTGTTGACTTTGGTCAAGGATGGGCAAAATGTGGCCCCCCAAGAGTCCCCTGCCTCTGGGGCTGCTGAATTTGTTGCCACTCCTGCAACAGAAAACAACAACAACCACCCAAAAACCAAAGCAGCACTTTCCCAATAAAAGCAAATGAAGGAAGCAGTCCTCGTATATCTTGGTTACAAGTAGATCTGCATGCCTGGAAATGGTGACATGCTTGTAAAACAAGGTGCTGTATGCAGGGAGTATACTCCTTTATAAAGAAGGAAATCACAGCTTTCCTCCCCGCCCCCGTCCCCCCGCTACTGCAGTAGATTCAATGATCTATGCAGCCCTTTATGGGTTTGGGGTGTTCCCTGAAACATGCAAGTTGCCCAACAATCGTCTAAGGTATAATTCTTATTTGAGTAATAGAGGTTCCAGGTTCTGATTCCAAACAGGGCCTGTTCAAAGTGGGAGTACTTGTAATTGTAACTGTAATCAATGACAGAAGCTGCCGGGCCATTGGCCTGACTCAGTATAAGGCAATCTCCTATGTTCCTTTGACTTCTGGAAGGTCAGAATCCAAGATCTTGAAGACATCTAAAAGTTTGCAGTGAGAAACACTACATTCCAAAAAGTACAATTCACTATAGTTGCCCATGGCTGGCTTTAGGGTTGGGCAAGCTGAGTGTTCACCTGGGCCACTGAGATGAGGCCCTCTCACAGTCTCAGCTGATAAGCTCTCCAATCTGACCTGAGGTGGTCCCAAGTTGAGTTGCAAAGGTATACACTGTGAACAGGACAATGCACCACACTAAATAAGGGCTTGCCTTGCTGGGGCAGGCACAGAACTGCAACCTGTCCGTAGAGACCTACCAAGAAACAGGAACTGCTGCAAAGCAAAGGATATTAAAAAGCAAAACATGTGACAGGTCTGCCATGTAGCATAGCGAACTGCCACTGCTCAGACTGTTCCTTTTTTGACTGTTGTCTTTTGAAAGCTGTGGCACCATGGCTGACAAATAAAGGCACAATATTGTGCTCAACGGATATTCATCCTTTGACAATCACCTGTACCATATGTCAAGAGATTTCACTAGGATCCTAGAACTAGGGGTGCACTGACAGCAATAAGCAGCAAATAAAAGTTAGTTCACTCTGGGTCCTTTTTTGCACTCTTTGCTGGAGAAAGCCCAGGAGTAGCAAGGTCTGTTATAATGCTATGTTTTGCAATCCTGTATAATTTGGCAATACTGTAAACCTGCAGAGCTGCTCAGGGAGAAGGGGGATGAGGCAATTTCCCTTAGGTATAGAAAGTGTCATCCTGTCTCTTCTATTGATGCCTGTCCTGATCCTCACCCACCACTACCATCCCCATGTTGCTTGCCAGAATTCTTGGTGTTTTGTTTGAAGGTTTCCTAAAAAGAGGAAAAGATGTATTATGTAATAACATTGGATGCTGAGATGTCATTGTGACATATCAGCAGGACCTCTCACTGGCCACGATGAAATAAATAATTCACACAGCTGTGTGGACAACAGAACGGATGCTGATTCAAGGCTTAGACTATTGTTTAAAGCACTGGTGTAGATTCAGTACAGCAAAGATCTGCTTAAATGAATTATTTTTGCTCAGACTTAAGTCAGCGGTAAAATGTATCTCTGGGAAATCTGAAGGGAATGAGGGGCCTACTTACTAGTTAGGCCTGCAGCCCAGGCAAAAGGGAGCTCAATGAATCATATTCAGGTAAAATTTTTAATTATGTCTGAGCACCAAAAGAGATGAGATTGATCAGGTGGGCTTGGACATGGTCAAAACCAAACAGCCCTGGTTGCAAAGTTTGTAGTAGAAGAGAGAAAGAACAAGGGAGGCTTAAAGGAAGGATTCTGGCCACGGAGATGGCCTGTTCTTTTTTTACTCCTTCACCCTATTTAAAGGAAAATGAAGCACATCCATCATTCTGCTTAATTCTAGGGCAAGGAAGAGCTGCAGGCAAGAATTCCCTCAAATAACGTGTTCTTGCAATAATTTCTCCACATGGCTCACAATGTTGTGCATACATCCCTGGTCCTTGCAGTGTAGGGGAAAACAGAAGGGGTCCCAACCTCATGCCACCACTCTTCTATCATAGAATTAGATTGTAATAACACTTTGGTGGGCATGAAGTGCAGGTGGATTCCCAACTAAAAAACCTGGATGGCCGTTCAATGCCTCCCATATGACCCATGATTAGTTTCTAGTCTCCCAAAGCACAAGCTTAACTCTGGATTATCTTTCTTTGTTAAATCATAATTACCTGCTCAATACATAGAACTAATTATTTTTGAGCACCTAGTCTTAAATAAGAATAAACAGTCCTTACCATCTTACAGATAGACTTTGCCTCTTCAGAAAATTTATGGGTATACACCTCTTCAGTTTCCAAGACTCTCCGATCTACTTCTTCTCGCTTCACTTTCTCTTTTCTTCCACGAAATGGTGACTGTCCTGCAATCATTTCATAGATTAGGCAACCTAATCCCCAGTAGTCAGGGCTAAGTGTGTATCGCTGGTTATTCAAGACCTCTGGAGCTGGGAAAGAGAGAAAGATGAGATCCATGAAAAGGATTGCCATTTCTACAATGAAAGAAAATTATGCTAATGGCTATAAAGTAATCACCGTCAAATTCAAGAATTAAAATACTCCATGTAGACCTCCACCTAACTAAGCCTCAGCTTGGTTAAGAATCATTTTACTTTAGAGGTGCTACTCAGGAGCCCACTTTGAGTTGTTGCTTAAGCTATGGTAATCAGGAGGCAAGGCATATGTGCAGAACTGTTTGCACAGACATAGAAGAAATTGCCCCACCATGCGGGAAGATAAAGTATAGAAATATATAGCCATGACAGCCCCCCCCCCGTCAGATGCTGCAATTTAAATCCATGTACTGCACTTTGGCTTCAAAGAAAACATAGAATGGAATCTCAGAGAAATACGTGCAACACTGTGCTAAAATTACACCATCTGTTATCTACAATCTAGTCTATACTATAATGAATGGCAACCCAGAACTTGATCCTGGAGGAGCATACCAATTTGGCATCTATTACACAGACCTGGCTGGCTGAAGCAGGGGACTAGAGGTCAATCTCTCTTAGTTCTACCTGTCTGGATTATCTGTGCAGCAACAGGCAAAACAGACAACCGATGGGTGGGTGCGGGTGGGACTGACTGCAGTGGTCTATTGTTATACTATCACCTTTAACCAGATGCCCCAGCCATCGGTCTGTTGGATTTGAGTGTATATTCCTGAAAATGGGTGCCCTAAGCTAGCTGAGCTGGTCTCAGGTGTGGTGCTCATTCGTTGTAATAAGGGCCTTCAATATGTATGCTAAGACCACTATACCATGGATCTGTTCCAAATGGTAATTGAACCCACTCCTGTTTCAGGACACACTGTGGCTCTGACTTTATCTGCTGGGCATGATTATGGCAATTTGTTTCAGGAGGAACTCTCTGTAGTTCCATTACCATGGACAGATCAATACCTGGTTAAATATAGCCTCAACGTGGACTCTCTGCAGGCATCAAGGAATGCCTGCAGAATTATGATGGTTTGCCCTAGGAGGCTAATAAGTCAGAATGATTTTCTAATGGATCTATGGGAACTTTTCGTCACCTTAGAAGAACCACAGTGACCACCTAGTGGCAAGCCACTACTCTGGGTGGCTTACAACAGAATAAACATAAAGTAAAACAACACACAGAAAAGGAAGCACCCTAAACGCAGCCATATCTAAAGAAGCACACTGAATTCCCGGGGCGACGGTAACAGCAGCATCAGTTAAACAACAGGTATAGGGCTATCAATAATTAAATAATTACTTAAACAAAATATAATATGAGAAAGGCTTTCAAAAGACTAGTTAAAAATCCACGTTTTGATATGTTTTCTAAAGCCAAAGGGGGTTAGAGGCTGGACACACCCCCTTTGGAAGAGAATTCCATAGCAAGGTGGCCACCACTGAGAAGGCCTGATTTCTGGTAGATTTCCATGCTGAGAAGTGTGGGTGGGAAGGGAGGCTGATCTGAGGGTGCTCTGTCTGATAGTAAACCATTCAGGGTTTTGCATGTCAATGTTAATACCTTGAAGTTGGCCCGGAAACATACCAGCAGCCAGTGTAAATGGTCTAGGACCAGGGAAATATGATCATATTTTTTATATTCCTGAGACCAGCCTGACTACTGCATTTTGCACTTGCTGCAACTTCCAAACCGTCTTAAAGGGTAGCCTCACATAGGCAGCATTGTAGTAGGCAATCTTCAACCAACACGTGAACCAGAATTATCAGGGACTTTCTAGTGAGATAAGAGTGAAGATGTGCAATATGCATAAGTTAGAAAAAGGCAGACCTGGACATGGCCGATATTTGATTCTCCAGGAGCACACCTAAATTAGGAATCTGATCCCTCAGGGAGAATGGGACCCCATCCAGACCAGGCAGAAGGCACCTCAACTGATTAGGGTCTCCTTCTAACAACAGTATCTCCATCTTGTCAGGATTTAACGTCAGCCTATTAGCCCTCATCTGGTCCATAACTGGCAGCACCCCACAGTCTGTACAGTTTCCCTTGCCAAAGATTTCCAAGAAGTCCAAGGCTAAACCAGCGACCAGACCCTCCAGGTGTACGTTGAAGTCCCCCAGAAGTACATGTCTGGGAGACCACAACAATAAATCAGAGACAAAGTCCATCAGCCTCAGCAGGGAGAGTGCTGGGTCATGAGAAGAATGGTACACCAACACTAAACCAATCTGTCTCACTGGTCCACAGACAAAAGGAGGTACTCCAACCCAGGGCAGGCCAAAGCAGCAATCCTGCTAACCTAGATAGAATTATAAAATATAATGCCAACACCCCCTCACCAGCCTTCCAGTCTGCCCTGATGCTGGATGGAATAACCTGGAAGGCCAATCTGGGAGAAAGCTGTCCTTTCCTCAACGCCCACTCAGGTCTCTGTTACACATGTCAGGTCGGTACTTTTGATCACAGTCAGATCAGCAATCAGTCGGGACTTATTCTGGACTGACATGGCATTTAATAACAAGAGGGTTAGAGTGGGAGGTAATGAACTGAGCTGGTTAGCTTGCACTTGGCAGGAAGGGAAAACATTACAGCCCAGAATTGATACACAACATTGAGAACAGGTTATCCTGTAACTGCCAGCATTCCCTCCCACACCATATCTTCTCCTACTCATCACCTCCAAAATTACATTGCACCCCATCATAATAAGATCCCTCATAACTAACTAGAACAAGGAAGGAAGGAAGGAAGGAAGGAAGGAAGTTAGAATGGGTGAAGCTGTAACTTACCAACCTTAATGCTATTATATGTTTCACTGGATTTTAATACAACCAGTTGGTGGCTGAAATCCTGTTGAGCAACTCTACAAGTACAATGGGGACGATGCCCTCATCACTGGCAAACTGCCCCACTTAAAACCTGTTTCAGAATGCACACAACTGCTACATGATGTGATAAAGAAGAGTGTTGTGGCACAGTGGTTAAACTGTTGTACTACAGCCAAAACTGTGCTCACGACCTGGGGTTCAATCCCAGGTAGCCGACTCAAGGTTGACTCAGCATTCTATCCTTCTGAGGTCGGTAAAATGAGTACCCAGCTCACTGGGGGAGGAGGCAATGTGTAGCCTGCATAATTGACTTGTAAACCGCCCAGAGAGTGCTTGAAGCGCTATGGGGCGGTATATAAGCAGCACACTTTGCTTTTTGCTTTTGAAGTTGCAAGCACCCTGAAATTGCCAAAGGAATCCTTTAATCATCATTGTTGCAGAAGGACAGCCGTGAAACAAGATTTCAACCACTTTGTATTTAATGGTATATATTTTTAAAAATAATTTTGTAAGCTGCTTTGAATCCCCTGCACTGGGAGGTGGGGGGGGGGACACAAAGAAAAAGAAAACGAAAACATTATGAATAGACAGCAGAGATGGTCATGAACTGAGGAGTCAATGGTTCAGCATGGTTCATTTCCTGGCTGAACAGCTGATCCATGATTCGGTGTGCTGCCTTTTCAATGGGTACCCACTCAGCAGCAGTACCTGGAAGAGAAGGGGCGGGGCACTGCCACTGAGTGGGTACCTGTTGGAGGGGGTGGAGTGCCGAACCATAGATCAGCTGTGTGGACTGGAAATGAAGCATGCTGAAGGTGGTTCGTGCCCATCTCTAATAAACAGATAAACAATAGACAGGGCAAGCTTATTTGGCTCAGACGTTTTCCCATAAATGCTACAATATATGAACGTAAAGAATTAACTTTAAATAATTATATATTATGAAACTGAAAACTTTTCAACTCAAACCACATCACTTTAATTCCACAGATTATCCAAAGTAATCAATATGGAGCGAAATGAACTTTTCTGATCACTGACTTACAGTGAAATCGTGAAGTTGGAAGTACCCACATTTTCTTTCTAAAGCAGGGGGTGGGTGCCATTGGTTGGTCTGGGGGCCAGTTTTCCCCTGGAACATGTCTCAGGTCATATTCCTCAGCTTATGAATCATTGCAATTCAGTGAAAAACCGTATTGTCAAATTCTGGTGACGAGTGGGAAATCTTCATCAAAGCAGCAAATGCTTCTTTTAAAGGGATTTTCATGGTGTTTTTTTCCCCCAGAGCAAACTGTGAAAATCTCTTTACAAGGAACATTTCATGCATGTTTGAAATGGTTTTGCCCTATTTGCCATCAAATTTCAGAAACAGAGTTGATGCCACAAAAACAATATCGGGGTAAGGTGCAGACTATGAGCTGAATACTACCTCCTGCTGTTTTAAATAAACTCATTCTCACACACTTTACAAGAAGTACTTTGTTTTGGAAACACCTTCCTAAAACTGGCAAATAAGTTGTATATGTATATATATGATGATAGGGACAAGATCTCCTAATTTGTATTAACTTTCACCAAAGGCTCAGTTTGTGGCACAGAGCAGTACTGTCGTTTCTATCAAACATAGAAGAACATCTTGGATACTTCAGGACTGGTTTCTATAGTGAATGTATTCATCTACATCAACAGCTGTAGCACAAAAATGGAATTTAGTACTGGACAATAAATAAATAAATAAATAAATAAATCTACATCAACAGCTGTAGCACAAAAGTGGAATTTAGTACTGGACAACTTTAGATTTTAATGTCTCCACAAGGTAGCTCAGAACTAATGAGGCACAAATCGGTCATAGCTTACGAACCAGAAAAGGTGGTGCTCAGTGGCACTTCCAAATATTTATATACAGTGGTGCCTCGCATTACGACATAAATTGGTTCCAGCGAAATCGCTGTAGAACGAAAACGTCGTTATGTGAAAAGAAAAAAACCATTGAAACGCATCAAAACCTGTTTAATGTGTTCCAAAGGGCTGTAAACTCACCATCCAGTGAAGATCCTCCATAGGGCAGCCATTTTCGCTCCCTGTGGAGCGAGGAATCCGTCCCAGAAAACAGTGAGGGGCCATTTTGTTTACCTGGTGGCCATTTTGAAGCCACTGATCAGCTGTTGGAAAATCGTCGTTTTGCAAAGAATCGGTTCCCGAAGCAGGGAACCGATCATCGCAAAGCGAAATTCCCCCATAGGAAACATCGTTTTGTGATCGCAAAAGCAATCGCAAAAAGTTCATCGTAATGCAGTTTCATCGTTAAATGGGGCCATCATAAAGCGAAGCACAACTGTAGGTCAGGTTCATTCAAATGATTCATTAAGCCAGACCTATCTTCTAAACTTGTTCATCTAACTGAGCCATCATCCTGTCCTTCTGGAAGTCACTCAAACCACAGTCATGCCTGGTAAAGGCAGTGTCAGATGGATGGGTGGATAGTCTCACAACTCCTTGTTCCATCATATCACAGTTCCTATGCAATTGTTCTCAAATCTTTGAAAACATGGATCTTGGAAGCAAGACAAGATAAGTAAATTGACAATAAACTGACTCTGATTTGGGAAGCTGGGCAGAATGTATACACAATTGAGATTCATGTTTACGTATGTCAGAGAGAGACTCGGAGAACCCCTTCATCAACATTGATATATGACTTTTTTTGTCAGATATTAATATGTATTGGCTATTTAGTGTTGCACATTCTGAAGTTGCACTATTAGCAACAAACATAAAACAACATAAAACCACATACCCATATAACCGACTGTTCCTACTCGTCCGCGGATTGATTCACCTTCAGGGATTTTAACAGCTAGACCCAAATCAGAGATCCTGATGTGCCCTAAAGCAGGTAGGGGGAAAAAACACAAATGTTCTAACATAACCATAAACTTATAGAAAAAAACATATATTAAATGTAAATCATCTAAATAAATCTAAACAGGAAGAAAATGGGAGTGCATCTTTGAAGGAAGTCATCAGCAAAGTTGATCAAATGGACTTTGGATACTGCCTGGTTTTAAGGATGGGTCAAAACATCATTATTGCCTTTTGCAGGACTTTTCTCTCCCCCATGAAAGTGGAGAGATATCCACTGACTTTTGGAAAACCAGGTTGAATTTCAAGAATTTACACCTTAATACAATGTTGTTAAGGAGTCCTCCCCACCACACAATTTTTTAAGAATGGGGGAAGCTCGTTCTTATTTCTAACAAAGTCTGTCCATAGAATGGAAGCTAACACAGGACACAGGATTATTTCTAGAGGCATTTTGGTTAGCAGCCAAGTTAAGACAGATAGGGGGGAAACAGTCAAAACTGAAAACTCATGGCCAATTTGTATTTAAGGTAAGATAAAAATGTGCAAACATTGCCTGCCACTCTAAAAAATTTTTGTACCTCTTTCAAACACTTAATAAAATACTTCAGGTTCGCATTTCATTATGGCAGGTAAGACTATTTATCTGTCTTGGCTAGCACTGTCTATGTCAAGTCAATTCTGACTTTTGGCAACTCTTTTGAGGGTTTCCTAAGTATAGAGTAGTTTACCATTCTCTTCTTCTGGGACTATGCAGCTTGCCCAGCATCACACTGTCTGGCTCTTTCCTCTGGAGGCACAGTGGGGAATTAAATTCTTGATCTATGGCCCTGTCTCCAGGGTCCCAGCTCACTGTGCTATCCAGTCAGCACCAGAGACTTGCTCCCTTGACTCTGCTTCCTTGGGGATGCTAGGTTTTGAAACTGTGACCTTCTGATGTCAAATGTATGTAGAACCACAAAGCTATGGTTCAGGTCACTTCTGAAAAAGAAGAGGCCAGTTTTCATGGAAGGTCAGTAGACTGGTCCAAGTTGTGTTTTCCTGTTCTCCCTGCAGGAAATTGTGGTGTACAAGAGAGTGTACACCACAATTTCATGGAAGGTCAGTAGACTGGTCCAAGTTGTGTTTTCCTGTTCTCCCTGCAGGAAATTGTGGTGTACAAGAGAGTGTAGAAACCATCTCATACCAATGGCAAGGTAAATTTTACTTTTCTCTTTCTTGGTCCTCAAAAGGAAAAAAAAAACATAAAACACAACCAGTTGTGTTAAGAGATTAGGCTACACTGGTCTGTATCAGCTGTTCTTTGAATAAGAACAGAGCAGAGCAATGTTTAGGCTCTGGAATTTTAATTTCCTTGTTAAAAAGGAACAGGCTGACCCAAGCCAAGACCACCTTTTTCAAAAATTGGAACATGGAATGTATTATTTGGCAGTGCTGAGACAGCTAATACAAAAGTGCAATGTGGTGTTTTGTCAA